GGAATATTATTATTATTAGTAGTAGTATAGTAGGTGTAGTAGTCGTAATAATAGTCAGTAGTAGTAGTAGTAGTAGTAGTAGTATAGTAGTAGTGGTAGTGGTAGCGGTAGTGGTAGTGGTAGTGGTAGTGGTAGTGGTAGTGGTAGTGTGGTAGTAGTCAGTAGTAGTAGTAGTAGTAGTAGTAGTAGTAGTAGTAGTAGTAGTAGTAGTCGTAGTCGTAGTAGTAGTAGTAGTAGTAGTAGTAGTAGTAGTAGTAGTAGTAGTAGTAGTAGTAGTAGTAGTAGGATTAGTGATGGTTGTAGCTATGCGTATTATAATCGGAATCATGGTACAAACAAGCATTGTCAAGAAAAAGGGGAGGAGTGCAGGGGGAAGAGAGGGAGGAGGAGGAGGCGGAGGAGGAGGAGGAGGAGGACGAGGAGGAGGAGGAGGAGAAGCAGGAGGAGGAGACGCATGGAGAGAGGACGTTACGCAGGTGGATGTGCGACTTGAGGAGCAGAGGTGTTGGACAGGAGACAGAGAAAAAAGAGATATATCAGGTGGAGGAGGAGGATGGTGACGAACATAATGGGGAGGAGGTCGAGAAGGAGCAGGAGGGGTGGATCATAAGGGTGAGGGGGAGGATGAGGAGGGGGAGGATGCGGTGGACGACGCCGTCCTCTTCGGTGGGCGGTCAGGTGGGCCGGAGGCGTTGCAGCGCAAGTTTGAGAATTACGCCCGGCTTGAGAGCGACGACGAAGTCTCTGCAAAGGCTGGGGGGGACCTCGGGCCCATCACGAAGCGGAAGGCCGCCAGCTGCTGGGGACGGGGGAGGGGGGAGAGGAGGGCACGAATAGAAGAACGACCAACGGCATAACCCCAGTTGGGTCTCTTGGGCCTCTTGGGTCGGCGCTGGACCCCGATTGGCGGCGCCTCCAGCGGTGCTTCTGGTGCTCTTCGCGCGCCAGGGGAGGGTGTCCAGCGCGGACCCCAGAAGTCCGCGCGTACTTTCCAAAATCTGTGTGCATGCCGTCACTAGTTCTTCGTGTAGGAGGGCCAGGAGTCGGAGGGCGCCAACTGAGCATACGCCTTCAGCGATCGTGTCCAGCTCGACCCTGGGCCCAGGGTCGGTGTATGTGACTTCCTGGCCAAGCCAGGAGGGCGCAGACCCCGATCCTGGGGTCAGGATGGGCTGGGCCTGGCCAGGATCGGCGTGGGTGTCTGCTCGGTGTCCTCCCGAAAAGCGGGGCAGGGCAGGGGGGGCCAGGGGAGGCCGAGAGCAGGGGATGGGAGGCGACGTGAAAGGACATGTGGGGCGCTCCAGAAAAGGGGCAGTTGGCACCTCTTACTCGGCGAAAGGGCGGTGGAAGCCAGCGGAGGTAAAACGGCGGCGGCTCCGCGAGCAGAAGCTGGCGGAAGGCCGGCGGCAATGTAAATCGGCACCCCAAGAGATGACACGTGTTTGGTTTAGGGTTTTTGGAACCCGCCATGTGGAGGGATCCGCGGGGATGCAAGGGTATGTGGAGGAGATGAGGGGATGTGGGGGGGAAGGGATGAGGAGGGTACGTCTCCGGGTTGCGACTCGGAGTGTGCAAAACAATTGAGGATGCGTAGGGTAGGGGAGTGGAAGTGGAGGGGAGGCGAGGGGAGTGGACTACGCCGTTTCTCCTGCTTGCTACATGTCAGGACTGGCGCTCAGACCGATGGACGCTGGTCACTGGAGCCTGCTGCTGGACAGAGCTGGCAGGCGGGCTCCACCCAAGCCCCTCGCAAGCTTGGCCTCAGGCGAGCCTTGGCTTTCCTTTGGGGTGCCTTGCCTCGGTGGCTCTCTGGCGTTGCATGGCACGACCCCGGTTGGGCCTCTCGTGAGGCCAGTCCTTCTGAAAATTTCCGGGCCCCGGTTCGATGTCGGTGCCACGTTTCCACTATAGTTCAACGCTCGACGGGATCTCGTCGTCAGTATGTCCGAGGAACCGCGGCTTGTGCCCTCGAGGACCATTCGAGGAGGAAGAGGGGGCGTTGGGGGGAGTCGAAGGGGACGGATGCGGAGGAATACCCGAGAGAGCGACCCGTGGCAGATGCTGTTCGGCGGCGCAGAGCTCGCCAAGGCCGCTTTCGAGCTCGAGCAGGGCAAAATGGCGGACATCGTGACCACCAAGGACAAGCTTGCAGCATGTACTTGTGAACATGCCCTGTCCTTCCCCTCACCACCCCCCCCCACGCGTCGTCCTCAACCGCTAAGTTGAGAAAACCCGAATTCATTGTTTGTTTGTCTCTCTCTGTCTCTCTCTTTCTTTCTTTCTTTATTTCTTTATTTCTTTCTCTCTTTTTTGTTCTCTCTCTCTCTCTCTCACAGTATACATATACGCAGTTGTATATTCTTCTATCGAGAGGTACGTGCGCGCAGGAATGCCACCAGATATTATTGCAGAGATGGGACGCGACTTCGTGTCCTCGGTATGGCACTGGCGGTCTTCCACCCCACGCTGTGATGCGCGCTGCTGCTACGACCCAGGGGAGGATGGGAGGAGAAGGAGATGGAGGAGGGGGAGGATAAGGGGGTGACGAAGATGATACTGAGGAAAATGAGTGAGAGAACTGAAAGGGGATCAGGAATAGGAGGGGGTAGAGGAAGAGAGTTGAGCAGGAGAGAAACACGAGAAGGCGAAACATGCAGGATGTGGGAATGGGGATGGGGATGGGGAGGAGGAGGAGGAGGAGGAGGAGGAGGAGGAGGAGGAGGAGGAGGAGAGGAGGAGGAGAGAGGTAGAGGAGAGGAGGAGGAGGAGGAGGAGGAGGAGGAAGAGGAGGAGGAGGAGGAGGAGGAGGAGGAGGGGAGGAGGAGGCGGAGGAGGTGAGGCAGGGAATGCGTGAGGCGAGGGCGGAGGAGGAGGAGTATGAGGACCCAGAGCAAACGACATGACGCGTGTTGACGATGCTGCGACGCACCAATCCCGTGCCACTCTCGCTCCTCCTCCTCCTCCTCCTCCTCCTCAGGATCCCTAGCGCATTCCTTGTCCACTGCTGGAAGCGTCCCCTTGAAAACGCGCGCCCCTAGCGCGCCTGCCTTTTCGGCGGGGCCCGTTTAGCCAGACCCCTCCCCCATCCTCTCCTCCATCCTCCTCCGCCTCCTCCTCCTCCCCCTGCTCCTCCTCCTCCTCCTCCTCCTCCTCCTCCTCCTCCTCCTCCTCCTCCTCCGCCTCCTCCTCCTGCTATTCCCCCTTCTCCCCCTCCCCATCCTCCCCTCCTCCTCCTCCTCCTCCTCCTCCTCCTCCTCCTCCTCCTCCTCCTCCTCCTCTCACCCTCCATTCTTCTGGCTATAGGAAGCGCACTGGGGTATGATCATGCAGACCACGGAAGAATCCAGCGATATCCTTGGTCTGAAAACTCGAGCTAGACAGTTTGGGGATGTCACACAGACAGTTTGAGGATGTTGCAGGTGATCTCCCCCATGTTGGAAAGAGTCGCCGTCTATCCGTCTACCAACTTGTGCATTTCGGAACTTTGGGTTGTACACGTTGGGGACGTGGCAGGCGGGAACCCATTACAACTATGTAGTTCCATACATCCGTGTAGCCAGTTCAAGGCGAGTGTACTCGGCGCCAAAGCGACACCTCTATTTTGGAAAGGAGCCGTCCTCTACCAGTTAAGCTGTTGCACAGTAGCGTCCTGAGCGAGAGTCCCATTCTAGAAAAGTGCCGCCCTCCATCCGCGTAGCCGTTGGAACTGCAGACGAGCGTGCGCGGCGACAGGGCGAGAGCTTCATTTCGAAGAGGAGCCGTCGTCCATCCGTGTAGCGGTTGGAACTGTTTAAGACGAGTGTGCACAGCGACATGTCGATAGCCCCATTTTGACATTCATGTGCCTTTCGTCCACGCAACTGTTGGAACTTAGTTGACGCAAGTGTGAGTGGCGCCGGGGCGAGACCCCATACTGACGCCCACCCGCCTTCCATTCGTGTAGTTGTTGCACAGTTTGGAAGTTTGGGGCGTACAAAGGGAAGTTGTCTCAAGCGAGAGCCCCATTTTGAAGTCCACCTGGCCTCCATCCGTGCCGAGGCTGGAACTGCTTGAGACGAGCGTGCGCGGCGTAAGGGCGAGCATCGCACTTTTGGAAACCATCTACCCTCCAGCCGGTATATTCAGGGGGGGACTAACCTTCCGACGGGGCGTCCCCATCCCCCCCACTGCTCTTCAAATCCTCCCCCCTCCCGGCACCCTCCCGAACTGGTTTCCCTATTCCCCCATCCCCCCCCCCAGCTCACTGTCGCCCCTCCCACCCCCCTCCCCTCGGAGACTGCCGACGCCATTCGGCCACCCCTCCCCTGGACAAAAACCTTGATCGTCAAAACTGCCATCCCACCCAAAACCCCGCCCGGCGGCACACTAGATCCAACATCTTATACCACTTGCCCTCCATCCATATAACCGTTGGAGCTTTCGAGACTCAGGATCATGACTTGTGAGGCAGTCTCAATCGTAACGGCTGGCCCACCCAAACAGCATGCTTCATGGCGCGGCAGTGAGGAATGATCTATAGAGAAAAGGGTTCGAGGAGCGAGAAGAGGGGGTAGGGAGGAGGAGGAGGAGCAGGAAGAGAAGGCGGCGGAGGAGGAGGAGGAGGAGGAGGATAAGGAGAATGATGAGGAGGAAGGACGGCCCCTTTTCACTCGCCTGATAATCCTTCGCGGATTTGCAAGCCCTTTTCGCAGTCGCGCAAATCTGGCACCGAGCTCCGGGTGGCGTTGCGGCGGGGCGAGGTTGCAGTTTTCTCGCTTGGCATATTTTTCTCTCAGAAGGGCAAGTGCATGGGAGTTCGAGCAAACAGATGGCACGCGTCGGCTCGATGCTGAGGGGGGGGGGGCCCAACTACTGCTTCGCACGGGCCACGGCTGGTAAAAGGGGCCCGACAGACGCCAGCGGCGGCACAGCGCGGTGCCGCACTTCCACCGTTGGCTTCCGTTTCAGTCCCAGATTTTTATTGGTTTATTGATTCTTGCCTTTTGGCTGATCATCTGAGTATTGCTTCGGCTGTTGCTTCATCGCTCTTGGCTTGAACTTGGCTCTGGCTCTGGATTTGGCTTTTAGCGTCAGTCAGAATTGCACCATGACGGGACACCGTGGCGGACACCCCAGTGAATCACAATGGGATGGCACAGGACATCGGGGCGGAATCCGTGGAGGATACTGTGGGGCGCATACGGCACCACTCAATCCCCCTGCGGTCCGTCCCTTGAGCCCAAAAAAAGGGAACAGCAGCAGTGGCAACAGCTGCTGTCGCAGCAACAGCAGCAGCAGCAGCAGCAGCAGCAGCAGCAGCAGCAGCAGCAGCAGCAGCAGAAGCAGCAGCAGCAGCATTAGGGGCTCATCTGATCCGCCGGGGCCCCAACGCGCTCCCCAGCGCGCGCACATTCGCTTCCAAGTCACGGACGACACTGGATCCCCTGTTGGGGGCGGGCTCACGGGCGGCTTTCACGCTCCCACGGTTTCACTTCATTTGTGCTTCGCTTGTCTCCAGGGCCGTCTGGGTCTCAGGTCCGAAGTCGCGCCCTACACGTCGAATGGGTGCGCTAAGACCCTGAGAGTTCTGAGGTTGAGTTCCGTCGATCTGGTAGTCTGGTGGTACCGTGCCGTGACGTGCCGCGCCCTGCTGTGGGGCCGTGCCGTGCCCGGCCGTGCCGCCGCTGCGCTGCTTTTCCGTTCTTCGCCGCGGCGCGCTGGGGCGAATCTTGGCAGCCTGGGAGGCCCGTGGGGCCGTGCCGTGCCGGTGGTGCTGGTGGCCCCCCAAAACGCAGTGGAGGCGTGCATCAGGAAACCACATGCTTTTCGCCAGGTTGCCCTGGGTTTCTTGGATCCGCGCGCTGCGCGGTGACCTCCGCGGCCGTTGAGACGCTGCTGCGTTCAGAGTGCTCCGGGTTCCCCCTCAGGTGTTATTCGCGCGCGTGTTTTCAGGGTTGGGCTTCCTGCGGTGGTTCCTTGCGACCGCGCCCAGACTGTGACAGTTTAGTGCCTGTTTGAGTGGTAGGAAGTACAGTTGCGCGGGTTGTTCAAAAATCTCCCCTCTTCGTCTTTGCTCCAGACCTCTTCGGCAGCGTCTACGGAATAAGATACCCAGCCCCGTAGTCCCCGGCAGATGGGCGCGAAGCTGGTGGGGCGTTCCCACAAGATCTGGTCAACAAGCTGGTCTTGGGTTCTTCGGTCAACCGCTTCTTAATCATAGCCTCGGCTGTCTGTAGGACCTGGTCAGAACACCGGTCGGATCTACAGGGTGGGGAAGGATCGCCGTGGTCGGCGTCTCGGGGGAACGCGCCTACTTCGGCCAGATCTGGGACTCCAGAAGGGCTCAGGGCCCCTTGTGCTCCCCGCGTTCGCCTCTGCGAGCGCCGCAAGCGTCGAGCTTCTCTTCCCGCGCGCACGTGCTGCGGGGTGTAGGCAGACGGGCTGAGGTCTGCAGGGAAGGCTCCCCCGACGGGGACGGGAGTGGAGGGAGCGGAGGGAAGGGGGAGGGCAGCCCGCGCCGCGAAGCAGGTGCTTGATTAGTGAATCTAGTTGGTTTTAGGGTTCAAACAAATGGTCGCAGCCACGCAGGGCGTGTGTTCCCCATTTTGGCATCTTTCCAGGGGGTCAGTAGTGCACCGCCAGGCACGCATCTGCGCTGGCTCGAGGGAAGGCACCCTTCTCCTTCCCGCCCGCTCGGCTCTGCTTCTCCTACTGTGGCCGCGGGATCTCTTCCTTCGAAGATGACCAGGCAGTCGGACGCTGGGGGTCTCTCCTTTCTCGCCTCCCACTCCGCCTCTGCACGTGAGCGCTGTGAGAAGGCACACGCGTTCCTAGTCTCGAGAGTGTGCCCCGCTCAGACTTTCTAGTCCATAGTTCTTGCTGCCATGAACTGAAGGGCTGAGATGGAATACTTCGGGCCCTTACACGCTGGCCACGATCCCAAGAGCCCTCAGAAGGAGGGCGATGAGACGATCCAATGAATGAGCCATCCCTCAGCTGTCGTGCCATCAGGACGATGAGGAGGAGGGGGAGGAGGAGGAGGGAGGAGGAGGAGGGGGAGGAGGAGGAGGAGGGAGGAGGAGGAGGGGTAGGAGGAGGAGGAGAAGGTGGAGGAGGAGGAGGAGGAGGAGGAGGAGGAAACGGAGGGGGGGCGTAGAAAGGCCCCATGATGGCCCCAGAAGGCTTCAAACACCTGTAGTGGGCGTCTGCGCTCACCACCCCAAGGCCCTGGTTGTCGCCGTCGTCGCCCACGCCGGTGTCGTGGTTGTCGTAGTGGTACGTGTCGTGGTCGTCGTGGTCGTCGTGGTCGTGTCTAGGTGGTGGTGGTCTTCGTCGTGGTCGTTGCCGTCGTCATCGTCGTCGTTGTGCTGGTGGTCGTCGTGGTTGTCGTCGTGGTCGTCCACGTGGCAGCTCCAGCGGCTCTCGGGGCGAAGCTGCGGCCGCCGCGGCGGGCGGGGGACGCTCGGGCCTCTCCGCCCGGCCCCGCAGGAGGGCGTCCACCTGGTGGCTCGCTTCGAGTAGAGGGGCGCGAGCGCTAGAAGCCTCCATTGTCCTGGGGGGTCCTTGGCCTCCTCAGCCTGGCAGACGGGTCGTCGTCGTCGTCGTCGTCGTCGTCGTCGTCGTCGTCGTCGTCGTTCAGCTCGTCGTCGTTGCTGTCGCCGTCGTCGTTACCGTCGTCTTCGCCGTCTCGTTGCGTCCCCTCTCCGCTCCTCATCCACATCGTCGTCAGCGTTGCCGTTGTCGTCTTCACCGTCGATGTCGTCGATGAGAGCAAAGTTCCGTTGTCTGGCCTTCGGCCTCGCTGCCGCATCGTCGACGTTGTTGCTGCGGCGTCGTCGTGGCGACGGAACGAACTGTTTCTGCGTCTGGTGGCATTGCTACTCACGCTCCTCCTTATAAGCCTCGTCCTTCCCCCCACCCTGTACGAGGCGTGTTTGGTTGGGCGGGTGCCCGCCTGAAGTATGCACAAGTACAATCCTTCGTACGTGCCCGCAGCAGGACCCGTTCTCTGGCTTCCTTCCAGGACGCCTTTCCTCAGACGTCGCACGCCGCCTGTTGGGTAGCGGCTGTAGTCAGTGCTAGGCGCATTGGAAGGTGTTCTTGCACAATCTCTCGCTGTCTCTTTGACTCTCGTTCCCTCTCTCTCTTTCCTCTCCCTCTCCCCCTTCATCTCTGCAGGCTCAGCAGGAGGAGAAACAGGAACATGGCGATGATGTTGCGGATGAGGAGGCTCAGGGGGAGCGTGACGTTCCAGTATTAGATGTATGTGTGTATGTTTGTGTGTACGCTATGAAATGCACGAACATCAAGTTATGGTACGCATGTATACGTTAGCACATCCATGCTGTACGCATATGCGTGTTAGCCAGCGTGGACCCCGAACAATGCGTTTTCAGCAACCGATGCTGTGCAATCAGTCTCGTGCAATATATGTGGCACAATCTATCTGGCGCAATCTACATGGTACGCTATGTTGTACAGTACAGGCGGAACAGTCTATGTGGTAACATGTGTGGTGCAATCTATGTTGTGCAAGTTTTGGTGTGCAATCTACGTTGTCCAACCTATGTGGTGCAATCCGTATGGTGCACTCTATATGGTGCAATTGATTTCTGCTCGCGGTGAGTTGTCAACTCCACTGTTCGCGCAATCATCCCACCCACCCCGCACATTGGTTTGCAAACCCATGCGGCGGCGATTGCGATGACTTCTTGGCGCTGGCTGGCGAATCGCTGAGGCCGCGCTAGCGTGCGCAGGCTCACGCTAAGAGCGGCTGCGCGACCGACGCGGCCGCGGTGGCGCTGACCGCTGGAGACTTCCCAGCGCGTTTCGCAGGCCGCGCTGACGCGCGGGCACCTCAGTGCGAGTCGGTGTCTCGGGCGGGCGCGGTATCATGACGACGTCGACAACGGCGGACACGATGATGATTATAGCGATGCTGTTGACGATGGGACGGCGGCAAGGTTAACGACGGCGCCGATGCTGATCACGCCGATGGCGATGATGCTGTCCACGTGTCGGTGATGAAGGTTTTGGAAGGCTCTCGACATCGGCGCGCGGCTTGTAGGCGCAGGTGGCCCGCATGGTGTGATTGTAGTGGTCTCCGGCCAATGCCGCCGATCCGGGGCGCTCTGGAGGAACAAGGGAGGAGGATCGTCATGCGCACGGGCGTGGGCGTCCTACTCATGAAGATGAGCTTCGTTCGGCGTGCAAACAGGGTTTGATGAAGAAGGGAACGAGGTCAAGGAGGCCCGGGGCCTGCTGGGGGCTCGAAGTCAGATTTTGCTTCTCCCTCTGGGCACCCTCTTGGGCCCGTCCTGGGGCCCTCTTGGGCCGTCGTTGGGGCTTCGCCGGCCATTTTGGGGCCTTCTTGGGCAGTTTTGGCGCTTTCTTGGGGGCCTCCTGGTCCGTGCTGGAGCGATCATGAGGGCGTGTTGGGCCGTCTTCGACAGTGTGAAAGCCCAAGACGCGAAGATGCTGAACATGTTCGGTTTGGAGGGGATGTGGTTATTTTTGCCTCTTGGGGCTCTCTTGGGAGCCCTCTTGGAAGCTTCTTCGGGCGTCTTGGTAGCGCTTAGGGCGGTATGGAGGCCAGCTTTGGCGTCGTGGACCGATCGTTTGACTACTCGGGGCCCTGGGGGGAAACCCCCCACCCCCTCCCCCGGCAAAGCCCCCGCGCCCCCCCCTCCCAGCAGAGCTCAGGCTGTAGCTTTTGTAAACTCACATGCCGGATCGGCGGATTTGGCAGGGATCGTGCCTTCCTAGCAAGCGCGCCAGGGCGTTCGAGTGATTCCAACATGCGAGCGCGAGGGGCCCGTCTGGTCGCATCTGCTAGGAACGTTGAACACCGCTGATTTCCGGACAAATTCTCAAGGGCGCGCGCGCAGACCTTTCATTCAACCAGTACGTCGCGAAATCATTGGTTTTTGATAGAAACAGTTTTTTGGACGAGGTTTGCGGTTTTTGAAGGAGTTCGGCATGCGCGCGCGCGACGACGCTTGCGTGCGCACTTGGTTTCATT